TAGTCAAAGTGCAATTTGCCGGTGAGTTGTGAAGTGGGTTTTTTTGCAACCATTTACAATATTATCATTGTTCACAATGGAAAAGCTGTTGTACTATATTCGCTAGTGAAACATATACAGCAATAGCTTAGTCTTGAAAAACACTCCAATAGATATGTAAATCAAAATCAGCCAAATTCATTTCTGTTAAATTTTCTCTGTAATAGAGCTTTTGTCTCCCTCATTGTTCAGTAAATATTACGATTATGGCCTTTACTCAACACGTCAATTAAAAATCAATTCAAAACGGCTTCATTAAGTTCCCTATTTTTGCTGTCTGAAACATAATTTATAAGACGTTTCTATAAGTTTCCGAGATTTTAAGGTTTCAAAGACCAAGTGTTCCAAGTCTTAATGGCTTATTGTTTATAAAAGTTAATTAGAAAAATGTAGAAGGTTGGTATTATTATGAAGCTCTTTGCTTTGTTAGTGTTAGTAACATGGCTACACTATTTTTCAAAAAGTCCCGCATTAGTAAAATTTATGCATCAAGATTAAGTCAACTTTTAACTAATACAATTGCCAAATATTGACTACATACTAACAGATTTTGTTAACAGTTTTGAGAAATTGGACATCACACCTAAATCAGCTCAGCGTATAAAGCCTGTGCTTGAGCGTTGGTTGGCAGATCTCGAAGGTCGACGAGTTGGAGAAGCACCGATACTTCCACAATCTTCTTCCTCCACATCGGGTCTTGGCGATGGAAATAGTGTTTGTGGAAGTTTTAATGGCAGCCCTGAAGACAACACTGGAACTAACTTTGGCAGTGGTGTCATGGATGGGAACGGAAGCGCCATTTATCGTATGGACTGCGAATCAGATGAATCTTGTGCTGGAATCCGAAAAAGAAAGAGCAGGACAAACTTCTCTGCAGATGCTCTGGATAGACTGAATCATGAATTCAACATCAATATGCATCCTTCAGGTAAAATCTAATTCATTCATTTCAGTATTTTCCAAAAATAGATAAGTGAAAAGTAATTCTTAAAGAATCATTGAGCCAATCTAACTTCAAAAGCGATTCTTTATTCATCATGCTTTCCTGGGATAGTTATGGGCCAAATGTAGAGACTTAAAGAAGCATCAAGGAACTTCTTCTTCCATTTGAGTAATATAAATAACCTTTCTTAGATAGTCTCCGATAATGCAAGGCTTCAAGTAGTTTTAAAAGTTGAGTGGCATTTGCAAAAATTGTGGTTTTGGCATGAGAGGGTTTTTTTAAATGCAAGTACTATTACTGATACCACATATTTTTACTGCCTAAACTCTAGTAATCATTCGCGAAAATAACTATAATTAATATAATAGGTATTGCCGGGACCTTTGTAATTAATGAATGCAAAGATTCGCCTGCCTTAAGTCAAGTCATTTGACGAATTTGTGACATCAAGTCACTGAGAGTATTAATTTAGCTAGCTTTTTTTCTGTTCATTGGGACACCAAATTATCAACACTGTGCTTAATTATAAAGTTTGAAAGGACAATACTAAAGTTCCAGCAAATTATCTTTTATGATTTAATCGAAATAGGAATACGGTGGAAGGAAAGTCGCATAGAGGTGCAAATTAGTTG